TAATTCAAACCATCTCTGAGGAACAGAGTCAAATGTAACAAGTGTTGCAACTGTCCCCGGTCTCCCTACGTTCAGAAAGCTTTTTGCTGCTTTTTATCTAATGTTTTGCTACTTTTAGCTAGTCCTTTGCTCAGTTTATTTATTTTTTGTTAGCCTTTTGTTACTTTAAGCTTTTGTCTAGCAGTTTGCTTTTTTAAAATAGCATTTTGCTATTTCACCCTTTATATTTTTGGCTTTTAACTGTAGTTCTGCTTATTTTAGCTTTGACAAGTGAGTTTTAGCTTCTTTAGCTAATATCAGCAATAAGTAGCTAATTCATCAATCCAAATTTACACAGCATCTTTCTTTGCAGAAAATTATCTTTACAGCTAATTATTTTTGGAGTAGATTTAACAAAACATACAAGAGAAATAAAAAGTAAAACAACAGTATGAAGGCTGAATCATAAACAGACTTATTACCAGTTTCAAACTTTGTTTAAATATGTAAAACATCTCTAAGTAAAACACTTATACAGAGCTCAGAAAATAAAACATCAGTCCAAATGATCAGAGGATGAATGAATGAATCACGTTTGTTTCGTTCACACATTAACTCAGTCATGAGAGGAGCTGGTTGTGTAACAGGGCGTGGCACCGCAGGGAGCAAACTAAAGTTTTCAACTCACAACGCTGACAAAAGGTAACCGAGCTCATCTTCAAACCACAGCCAGGCTGCTGTCAGGGGTCAGTGTTCACTGGGGGGGTCTGAGTGGTGTTAGGGCTCAAAGCGAAACATTTCAACAGCTCCTCACCTCTGAGATGAAAGAAGAGCACAAAGACGTTATTTTGTTTAAGAGGACTGCCAACAAACTGAAACTAAAAAACCCTCAGCTTAACTCTGTCAGTTACACAAATACTGACTTTAAATTTGGTTTGGTAGTAGGTGACACTGATCCTTATCAGATATGCTTTAAACACTAGAAAGATCAAAGATTTGTTTTTTTAGTTTTGATATCAACTGTTCAGTCTTCTCTGTTAGCAAAATACTGCTCTAACCACTGAATGGATTTTAAAGAAACTTTTGCCAAATAACCTAAAAAACAAATATTGTGACAGTTTAGTCAAGTTTACTGATATGTGGCTAAAATCTGATGTGGTCGTTGCCTACATTCACTGACAACACCTCTCCAGATTGTGCATTATTTTGTGAGTTTGACCAAAACAGCCACAACTCGTCATTTTTCAAGTTCAAGTTCAGTTTATTTATATATCTCCAAGTCCCAGCATCCGTTGTCTCAGGACACTGTAGATAAAAAGAACAATGTAAAGAAGAAAGCAGCAGATTGTGTTGAATCACTTCATCACAGTCTCCCATCCTGAGCAAACGGTGGAGAGGAAAAACTCCCTGCTAATCAGGAAGAAACCTCCAGCAGAACCAGGCTCAGGACAGGAGACCATCTGCCTCGACCGGCTGCTTGGAGGACAGGAAAGAGACACAGACAAACACAGAAGAACTGGTCCAGGACTGGTCCAGGACAGGAGACCATCTGCCTCGACCGGCTGCTTGGAGGACAGGAAAGAGACACAGACAAACACAGAAGAACTGGTCCAGGACTGGTCCAGGACAGGAGACCATCTGCCTCGACCGGCTGCTTGGAGGACAGGAAAGAGACACAGACAAACACAGAAGAACTGGTCCAGGACTGGAGACCATCTGCCTCGACCGGCTGCTTGGAGGACA